GTAAACATAATAGTCAACAGTCAACTGCTTAAAAATTTAGGGAGGAATCAATTTCCTGAAATTTCGCTTCAGTCTCAAAAATTTATTACAGCCAGGTCTATGCCCGGAGTGCAGGTGTTTGGTTCTGTCCTCTTATTCTAATTTTTCAACTCCATAATATGCTTTTATTCCCCTCTTCTTTTTTCTTAGTTAATTAAGGATATGACCAAAAGCAAAGAATTCGGTAGGATGGCATGTGGACAATGGGGTAATGCAACCTGGGCGTGGGTGTGGTTAATTGGTTATCATCTTATTATCATTTATTATTTTGTTAAAATTATTTAAAAGTTATTTAATTTAATTATATTTTAAAAAATAATTAATTATAATAATATTTAAAATATTAATTTATAAATTAATTTTAATATATTAAATAATAAATATTAATTATTTTATTAATTTTTAATAATTTTTAATAATAAAATTAAATAATCTTAACCAAATAAATAGTTGCTATAGGTACATCCGCTATACTCCCCTTTTCAGTTCGCCATCCCTAGAGGAAAGAATAATAATAATTAAAAAAAAGCTAGTATCCTTTTTTTAAAGAAACAAAACCTTCCAGCTCATATCCTCACGTGATACATGCGACAGATACAGGCAGAACAATACAAGTAACTATAATTAATTATTTAAATAATTTAATATTTATTTTTTTATTAAAAATAAAAAATTTTAAATTTAAATCATATAATATACAAGTAAAATAAAATAAAAAATAATAAATTATTATTTTTCATTATAAGATTAAAAAATTAAAGTAAAAGAAAAAATAATAGGCGCATATCTATACAATAAAGACATCAAAATAATAATAATAATAATAATAACACGGCTCAAGTCAACCCACACGATCAAAGTAGACCCTAATCTAACATTACCCCGCCGACCAGTACGTAAAATTGATGGACAAAAAATTTGATGTGCTGATAGATAAATGTTAACTTAATTTCGGTTTAAAATTTAAGTTCGAAAACTCGAGCAGCTATGAACATTTTATCTTTATTTTTAAAAAGTTTTTAATATATATATTTAAAATAAAAGTTTAAAGTACAATTATTATATTATTTTTTATTAATTACTATTAAAAAATATACAAACTATTATTAATAATACATTTGAGTTAAGAAAATGAATAACAGACAAGATAAAAGTTTTTAATTAATATTTTTAA